GGAAGGAGGCCATCGAGGTGGTTCCTCCTCACATCAGAGAGTCCGGGTTTTACAGCCGGTACTTCAATGTTCACTGTAAAGCAGTTCCAGAAACTGCTGGGTCTGATGGCAGCTGCGTCCAACGTGATACCTTTTGGCCTGCTGTACATGAGACCCCTACAGTGGAGGCCAGGGGGTTCTCCCTGAGGGGAAACCCGCTACACATGGTCAAGGTCACGCGGCGATGCCTACGTGCCTTAGACATGTGGAGGGAACCTTGGTTCTTGTCCCAGGGCCCGGTGCTGGGAGCTCCTTGTCGCCGCGTAACGCTAGCGACGGATGCATCCCTCACCGGAAGGCCCGCGGTCTGTGGAGCGGCCGCCATCTCACTTGGCACATCAACTGCCTGGAGATGCTGGCTGTGTCTCTGGCATTGAGACACTTTTTCCTGGACCTAAGAGATCGCCATGTGTTGGTGCGCACCGACAACACAGCAGTGGTCTCTTATATCAACCACCAGGGAGGTCTGCGTTCGCGCCCCCCTTTACAGGCTGGCGCTCCAGATCCTTGGGTGGTCCCAGGGGAAACTCCTCTCTTTGAGAGCAGTGTACATCCCTGGCTGTCTCATAATGGGAGCAGATGCCCTGTCGAGGCAGGGGCCGATGCCCGGGGAATGGAGGCTCCACCCTGAGGTGGTGGAGCAGATATGGAGAGTTTTTGGCCCAGCTCAGGTGGATCTGTTTGCGACTCACGAGACATCGTACTGTCCCCTCTGGTTCTCTCTGACTCATCCAGCTCCCCTGGGACTGGATGCTATGGTGCAGACGTGGCCGAGGCCGCGTCTGTACGCCTTTCTGGAGAGAGTGTGCCGGGACGGGGTCCGACTGTTGCTAGTAGCCCCGTTCTGGCTGGGCCGAGTATGGTTCTTGGACCTGATTTCCCTTCTAGACGGCTCCCCTTGGGAGATTTCCGTCAGGAGGGACCTCCTCTCACAGGCGGGGGGCGACATCCTTCACCCCCGCCCGGAGCTGTGGAAGCTGTGGGTGTGGCCTCTGAGGGGGCACAACTCAGAGCTTCCGGTCTCTCAGCCGAGGTTGTTGAGACCATCCTCCAGTCCAGAGCTCCCTCACCGAGGAAACTGTATGCCCTGAAGTGGAAACTTTTCACTTCCTGGTGCGGGGACTGCCAGCTCGACCCCGTTCACTGCCCGGTTGGTACAGTGCTGGAGTTCCTGCAGGCCCGTCTCTCCACAGGGCTGACCCACTCCACCCTGAAGGTCTACGTGGCGGCTTTCGCGGCCTACCACGCACCTCTCAGTGGCCAGTCAGTGGGCAGAAACCCCTTGGTTACACGTTTCCTCCACGGTGCGCTGAGGCTCAGACCTCCAGTTCGATCTCGGGTCCCCTCGTGGGACCTGGCCGTGGTTTTAGAGGCTCTTTGTAAACCCCCCTTCGAGCCCATTGAGGAGATTTCGGACCGTCTTCTCACGTTAAAGACTGCCTTTCTCTTGGCAATTTCCTCTCTTAGGAGAGTGGGGGATCTTCAGGCCCTTTCTGTGGCCCCTTCCTACTTAGACTTTGCGCCTGGGTTGGCCAAAGCGTTCTTGTACCCTCGTGCGGGGTACGTACCGAAAGTTCCCTCCTCGGCACCACAGCCGGTCGTGCTGCAGGCGTTCTGTCCTCCTCCCTTTCGGGAGCCCGACCATCGGAAGCTTAACTGTGCATGTCCAGTGCGAGCACTGGACATGTACATCCACAGAACTGCCCTGTGGAGAAAGGCGGACCAATTGCTTGTGCGCTTTGGTCCCCCTAAGAGGGGTTTTCCTGCTTCTAAGCAGACCCTCAGCCGGTGGATTGTAGAATCCATTTCTCTGGCTTTCGAGTCCTCTGGTCTCCCTTCTCCACTGCGGTTCAAGGCTCACTCTACCAGAGCAGTGGCGGCCTCTGAGGCCTTCTTGGCAGTTGTGTCCTTGCAGGACATCTGCAACGCGGCGGGTTGGTCCACGCCCTTGACATTTGCCAGGTTTTATGGCTTGGATATGCGAGCCACTCCCGGCTCTTCTGTTCTCGTGCCCTAGCTGTGCCCATCCACACTGGGCAGGGATTTGTAAGTCTGGCGGCGTGGGCATACTCGTTCCCATAGTGTTTCGACGCAGCTCGAGTTCCTGAAGGGGAACGTCTCTAGGTTACGTATGTAACCATGGTTCCCCGAGGGAACGAGACGCTGCGTCTCAGTGCCATACTTCCAGCATCCCTGCAGCGCTTGCTTCATTTTTCAGAAGCTGGCGCGGCGCCCGCTGTTTGCCCCTTTTATAGCTTCCAGGTCGTTACGTCACCCCGCCCGTGACGTCCCGCCCATCCTTTGGACTGATTATATACACCTGATTTAGGGCGCGGTCACGCGAATGGCGTTCCCATAGCATTTCGACGCAGCGTCTCATTCCCTCGGGGAACCATGGTTACATACGTAACCTAGAGACGTTTTTTAAAAATGCAGTGAAAGAGTGTGATGTCAGTGCAGTGGAGTGTGTGATGCGGTAGTGCACTGGAGCTCATAAGCTGTTGAACAGTGTAATCATTTACAGCATTTAGCAGATGCCCTTATCCAGGGTAATTTACATTTCTCATTTACACAGTTGAGGGTTAAGGGCCTTGCTCAAGGGCCCAACAGCGGCAGGTTGGCAGTGCTGAAGTTTGAACTCATGACCTTTCAATCAGTAGTCTAATGTCTTAACCACTGAGCTACCACTAACTGCTGTGCAGTGTGAGCACTGTTCTACAATGTGATCGCTGTTGTACAGTGTGATGGGTGTTGTACAGTGTGATGGCTGTAGTGCAGTGTGATGGCTGTTGTACAGTGTGACGGCTGTTGTGCAGTGTGATGGCTGTGATGGCTGTTGTGCAGCGTGATGGCTGTTGTGCAGCGTGATGGCTGTTGTACAATGTGATGGCTGTTGTACAATGTGATGGCTGTTGTGCAGTGTGATGGCTGTTGTGCAGTGTGATGGCTGTTGTGCA